ATCACTGGGCTCATGACGGCGCAGAACCTAGGTGAGGGGGCAGCAGGTTTGTGAAAGACCAAGGGCCATAGAAAAGGCCTGGAGGCATTATTGCCTTTTGAGCTTCTGGGGGTTTCGTTTGCCTTTGTTTTTAAGTGTGGCTGCCGTGGTTCGGGGTTGAGTGGATCCGACTTTTCCACCGTGGCTCCCCCCTTTCCTCGTTTTCTCCCTGCCTCTATACAAGCATCTGATCACTTGCATTTGTCTCTATTTGTACCTGTGTGTGTGTCTCTGTTTTTCTCAGTGTTTCTGGGTAGGTCTCTCTATACGGTTCTCTCTCCATAGGTGGGAGTCAGGGGGAGGTCCTGCTGCCTTGGGTCTCCCTCTGTTTTTCTCAAGGTGTGAGCGTGGCCTGTCTGCAACCCCGTTCCCTCTCTGTGTCTGTCTCTGTCTCTATTTCTGTCTGTCCCTTTCTGCCCCTCTCCCTCATTCCTCCCTCCGTGTGAGTCTCTTTTCTTCAGGTATTTTGGTTCTTTCCCACCCACCCTTATCCTCAAAATAGCTGTACTCCAGAAGAGCTCTGGGTTTTTGTTCTCTCTTCTCTTTGCTACTTACTCCCCAGACCAGCTGTCTGACCCAGGGACGGCTTTCAGTCTGGAGGCTCAATTGCTGGAATGATAGCGCCTGGTTTCCTGGTGCTCAGCTCCTTTCTTCAGAAGGAAAGCGTCCACGTCTGTGTCTGTCTGTGAATCTGTTCTTCATTCTGAAACCCTAAAGAAAGTTACAAAAGGGGGCACCTGGGTGGCTCAGTTTGTTAAGCATCTGCCTTCAGCTCAGGCCGTGATCTCAGGGTCCCTGCTCAGCAGGGAGCCTGCTTCTCCGTTTGCCTTTCCTCGCCCCGCTGCTCCTGCTCTCCCTGTCAAATAAATAAAATCTTTTTTTTTTTTTTTAAAGAAAGTTACAAAAGGTTTCTTTCCACCTCAGCACACAGCACCCTACAGTCTTCACACCAGCCTTCCCCATCTCCCTGCTCTGATTCCCAGGAGGGCAGATGGAGGTAGCTGGACTGGATTTGGGCTTCCACTCCTTGCTTCTCTCCTCATTCCCTGTGCGACCCTGGGGAAACATGGGGACCTCTCTGAGCGTTGGAGCCTTACAGCACATCCCTCCCAAAGCTAAATTCCAGCTCCACACCTGCCGCGCAGCACAATGCTGGTGCGCAGCAGGCCCTCGGATGATGTCAGCTCCTCTGGACCAGAGCAGCCAGAAGGCATTCCTTCATCCAGTCATTCATTCAGCAACCTGGCAACAGACATCCACGGCTGACCCCAAAGGCCCCATCAGCCTCAGTCACTAAGAACTCCAGGTCATTGTTACCCCGAGACCTTGGGCAGGGATGAGCAGTGTTACCTCAGGGCCAGCAGGAGCCTCTCCAGAGTGAACTTCCTGTAAGATACAGTGTCATGGGCCATGTTTAGTTTAGGCCTTTGAAAAATCACCCAGTGACGTCCAGATGCAAAAAATTGGCACTAAGTACCCGTTGTTTTTAAACAATCCTCTTTTGTCTGATAAAGAGTTTCCAAAGGAGGCAAGGAGAGGCCGCTGCCAGTATGGGAAAGATCTGTGTGCTGCCTTTGAGCTACAGTCACGGGAAGGAGAGAAATAAGCTTTTCTTACACCTTATTATCTTTTACTTTAGATTCTCGCATTCCATAGTCTGTTCATGATCCACTTGTGAAAACAGGCTCCCATCCTGCATGTCTTTGTACTCCAGCCTTTGTCCAGGGCTGACATGTGGGAGGTTTTAAGGATGCAGGATGGGGTGAGTGGGTCAGTAGGTGGTTGGCTGGGTGGATGAGAGGATGGATGGAAGGATGGAAGGATGGATAGATAAAGTTGCAGGAGTGTTTAAAGGGATATGATTACCCCAGGCATGCCCCTCTCATATAGTCACCAAGAAAGCCCAGTGTATTTGTGATTGGCTTGGAGAGACGAGGAGAGGGCGGTGAGGATAGCCCTATCTGGTTCTGCCCAGGCTGTCCTCAACCCGAGCCAAGATGATAATTACCCCAGGTTTGCAGCTACTGATTGAACAGCCAAGGAGCCTAAAGATGCTGGGATCCGTCTGGAGCACTTGAAGAGAGGGGCTCAGGAGCTTTGGGCTACACTTGCTGAGATCGCCTCTGTCCCTGCAGGCAGATTGATCGCTTCTTCCTCGCCCTCCAAGGGCAACCTGAACACGCTTTGGTCCTAAAACAATTGATCGTTGTCTTCTGTTTTTCCTTAGTTGGCTGAGAGCTCCTCAAAGGAAAGGATTTTTTTTTTCCCCAGATTTTCTTTTTCTAGTACCTAGAACGATACTTGGCTTGTAGTATAGGCTAAGTTAATATTGCATGGATGGATGAGTTGATAGATGGTCGGAAGAGTGGGGGCATGGATGATTTGCTTTGAGGATGATGGGTAAGCAGATGGATGGATGGTTTTAAGGATGATGAGTGGATGGGTGGAATGGATGAATGGATGGTTGGTTTTCTGGATGATAAGCCATTGAATGCTGTGCTGGATGTGTAGCTGAATGGTTTGCTGGTTGGGTGGTTGGATACGGATGGATGGCTGGTTGGATTCCAATGGATAGGTGGTTGGATTTGGATGGACGGATGGATGCAAAGATGTGATCTTCTTGGCCACCTAGAGTCAGCCTCCCACATGGTAGAGGAACCCTCTGTGCAGTACCTGTGATAGCCCTTGAATGCATTGCCTACCTCCCTGCAATGGCGAATCCACAGGGTATTTCATTAACAAGCAGAATTATTATCAACTTTTCCAGAGTCTAGGCATGGTAATGTAGTGTGTGTTAGCGTTTCAGGGGATCTGCTCTGGAAACAGACCTGGGTTTGAATCACAGCTGAACCAGTTACAGCAGTGTGACCTTGAACAAACAAATCCCTTGGCCTCTCCAGGCTATGTTTTCCTCATTAGCAAAATGGGACTAATAGCACTCTCCCACAGGACTGGTGAGAGGATTGAGTGAAATGATGGATGGCAAGGGCTGGTCAATGCTCAGTAAAATGCATTGTGATTGTTATGGTACCAAGCCAGAACGTACCCCTCCTATAACTTCTTTCTTCATCAAGAACCAGAGGTGTGCCAGATACTGTTACAGCCTTGTGTGTTTGATGACAAAGAAGGCTGAGACAGCTCCTCTTCTCACGGAGCTGATATTCCAGTGGGGTGCTCATACAGTTAACAAGTGAGCAGGTACACAGTTTCAGATGGTGTTAAATGCCATGCAGAAAGTCGAGCTAAGGTGAGGTAGAAGAGAGTGATGTGGCTGATGGGGGCAGGTGGTCTTTTGTTGAGCTGTGAACTGATGACGGAAAGATGCAGCCATGCAAAGATCTAGGGAGCTAGAAGAGCCAGGGAGAAGGTCCTGAGACAGAAACAGACTTGCTCAAGGGAAAGAAAGAAGGCCAGGTCCAGGGTGGAGAGTAGGGCTATCGGGGTACAGAGGCCTTCCCGAGCCAGAGCACGCAGGCCACAGAGGCCCTGCCTTGTGATTTGGACATTAGCCATGTTAGTTTCATCCTGTCCTCTAGAACAGCCTAGAAGGAGCCTTGTTCATTTGCAGCCGTTCAGCTTTCCAGTGACACTGACAGGCTCCTGATCTCCTGACCTCTAGACTAAACACTCCCAGTTCTCTGTTTTCCAAGTTGACACCCCAAGTTGACACCTGCAGCTATGACCCTGACAACATTCTGGGTCTCATAAACCTAGAACCCAGAAGAAACCAGGTTTGACCCAAAGGAAATCAGGCTGAAGAGAGGCAGGAGAGCTCTAGTCAAAACTGTAATGAACTAAGCCATCGATAAGCTCTGTACCCCCTTGAAACCCTGCCCTGGGAGTGTTGGCAAGGGCAAGCAGGAGAAAAGGAGCCTTTAAGGCTACTTCTAGAATAAAAGACATCTGGAACCAGGGGGATGCAGGTGGGTCTGATACAGGATCTGGGTGTTCAAAGAAAACTGTGCGATGATGGTGGCTGATGTCCAGCTAGGCTGATGGAGTAAGTCACATAGTGCTGTTAGGGTCCCGTCACTTGGCACCGCTAGGATCCCGTCTCTTGGCATTGCTTCCTCTGTGTTCTCTTCCTCTCAGGTGATCTTTCTCCATGTGGGGTTAAAACGGCTCTTAGAATCTTCCAGTTTTGTGTATACCAGAAAGGGAACCTCTCTAATCTAGTTGTTCCAACAAAAGCCTAGAATTCTGTGTTCTGGGCTAATTAGCTTGGGTAGGTCACTCATCCACCTCTGAACCATACAGTCTGTTGCTAGGGAGATGCTGTGTTCAGACTGGCCAGGCCTTGAGCTCTGGGACCTTCCCTGTCACTGATAATGGAGGGAGACCCTCCCCATCCATAGACTGAAAACAGAGGAGGGGATGACATCCTCCAAAATACTGCATGATAACGGTTTCATTGTGCCAGATGAGTAAGCTCTAGAGATCTTCTGTACAACCTCGTGCTTCCAGTCAACAGTACTGTACTGTGAACTTAAAAATAAGAGGGCAGGTGTCATCTTATCTGTTCTTTCCACAGTGTTTACCAAAAAAGATGATGTTCAGAGGAGAAGGGAAAGTGGATTCTGGGCAGGCAAAACCAGTTCCTGTGTCTTCTGTTTCCTAGCTCAGAATTAACTGCTCCTTCCCCTTCAGAGATACCTCTCATTTCCTCTTGCCTTGTTCGATGGTTTAATACAAGTCTTTATGTCTCCATCAGCTTTTAGAGCTCCTTGGAGGTAGGAACCTCAGAGCACCTCAGAGCCCCCCCGCCACGCGTGCACCAGGACAGCGTAAGGGTCCAGGACAAGCTTGCTTGGGCTGCCTGAGGTTTCAGGGCCCCATATGACCATGACCATGCCCTTCAGATAGTCCCCAAGATGAAGCATCAGTGAAGCTCCCCATCCTCCCCCCCTGCAAAGAACCTGGGATGCTCACCCCACCCTGTGGTCTCTCGGGTCTCCCCCCAGGCAAAGCCAACAAGAACGTGCAGTGGGACGAGGACTCGGTGGAATATATGCTCGCCAACCCGGTCCGAATCGCCTTCGTGCTGGTGGTCCACGGCCGCGCCTCTCGACAGCTGCAGCGCATGTTCAAGGCCATTTACCACAAAGACCACTTCTACTACATCCACGTGGACAAGGTGAGGACCCCTGCCCCACGCCCCCGGTTGTCACTTGCTGGCTTTCTCCGCCGGTCTGTCGGCTCCTCTCCAAGCCGGCCGCCCTTTCAGGCAAGGCTTGTGGGTTGATCAGGGGCTTCTCCTCGGAGCCCCTCCAGGAGTCTGTGTGTGTGTGTGTGTGTGTGTGTGTGTGTGTGTGTGTGTACATGCATGCATGTAAGCACGTGTGTGCGTGCGCATTTGCGTGTTAGTTTCAAAGTTCCCAGCTGTGACTTTAGACTTTCTCCATAAAACTTTTCTTCACCGCCCCACTGGCCCGTGCACTTCCGGCCACTTTGGGAGGCTGGCCATCCCAGAGGTGGGCACATGTTTCCCATGAAGGGCCAAGTGGTAAATACTTTAGGCTCTGCGGGCATATCCTCCTGCCACAGGGACTCCACTCTTCATTGGAGCGGGAAAGCAGCCCTGAGAAATGCACGTGTCTGTGTGGCAGTGTTCCAATAAAACTTTATTTACAAAACCCCGCAGCAGGCTTTCTGACCCCCGCGCTGTCTTGACAGGGAGGTTTTTGTTGGTCTGCTGACCCCTTCGTCAAGAAGGCATAAGGGAATGGTTGATCACAGCAGGCCTGTGAGAGAGGGGCCGGTGGAGGATTCCCGCCCCTCAAAATACTCACCAGGTTTAGACACAGTCACATTTCCTAGCTGCTCATCCTCAGACCGCATGCGTCAGTCTTTAAAAACGCAGAGTCCTCGGCACCAGCCCACGCCTCGTGAGCCCTTAGCTCAGAGGTGGGGCCTGGGAGTCTGCATTTCAAGGAACTGAAGGAAATTTAAAAAAAAATAATAAGGTTTTGAAGGCCACCATAGAAAGGACACTCCCAGCTGGAACCAGTTCCTTGGCCAAGTCCGCGTTGTTCAGAAGCCGTGTCACCTAAAGGGGAAGGGAGTCAGGGGGGTGAGGGGCACGTCCGCCCGTGTTCTGGGCCGCTGAATGTCCCTTCTTCTCTCCCTGGGGGAAAGCGCTCGAATTACTTGCACCGGCAAGTGCTGCAGTTTGCCAGACAGTACAGCAACGTTCGTGTCACGCCCTGGAGGATGGCCACCATCTGGGGGGGCGCCAGCCTCCTGTCCACGTACCTGCAGAGCATGCGGGACCTCCTGGAGATGACCGACTGGCCCTGGGACTTCTTCATCAACCTGAGCGCCGCCGACTACCCCATCAGGTGAGGTGGCCTTGCTCTCGCTGGAGGCCTGGGGCGCGGGTCCTTGTGCCCCAGTGACGCAACGCAGAGGCCTGGCCTGTGAGCTCCTTCTGCCTGGGATCCGAGTCGGACCCAGCTGCGTTCACGGGTACACGCAGGAGCCAGAAAGACCCCTACCCAGCTGGAGTTTCCATTCAAGTTGGCATGGGGGGAAAACAAACAAAATTAGTAAAATGGCACACGAGAAAAATAAAGCAGAACAAACCAGCAGGGAGAGTTAACAGTTTTAGCAGGAGCGGCTGGGTGAGTCCTTCCCGAGAATAACAGGAGGAGAGCGAGTGTCTGGGACGGGGAGCGTGGCCTAGGCTGAGGGAACAGCAGCTGTGGGGTCCTGAGGTTGGGGCTGTGCTTGCTGTGCTGGGGGAGCAAGGGGGCTCAGGGTGGCTGGAACAGAGCAGGTGACAGATGGAGTAGTAGGAGGTCGGAGAGAATTCTGGGGCAGGATCAGGTTGCTTCTAGAATGTGGGTGCCGCGGGCGTGTTTGATTCGGGGCAGGACCAGGTCTGACTCTGGTGTCGAAAAGGGGAGCAGAGAGGAGGAAGGCAGGTCTGTTGTGATGGCGCAGCAGTCACGGACACACACGTTTGGGCTGTTTGAGGCTCACTCTGTGTGTGTGTGTGTGTTTGGTGGCTATCAACTTGTCACAACTGAAAGGCTTGCCCACGTTTTAAGATTGGGAGGTTTCATGTGAAACTATAAAATGGGGAACTGCTCTCCAACACCAGCCCCGGGCGCACCTGTGGGCCCTTGGCCACAACTGTGTGGAGCTTCCCCAGCAGCCGGCAGCCCCAAGGCCCCAAGAAACTCAGATGCCACCAGGAAGGTCCGTCCCTTTGCACAAACACTGATCTGCTCTTGAAAATCGGCCATAAGCAGAGGAAACCCCTCTAAAGATGTCATGAGGTTTAAAAAAAAAAAAAAAGGGCAAGAAAATGAGCTTTATTTCCTGCCAGAAGGCCACTCTTTGCTTGACTGTGTCTTCCATCCTGATTTATTGGTGGGGCTAAAAAGGAGAAGAGGATGGGGAGCAAAGGGCGGGGCCTTCCTTCCTCTGATGGCACGAGGGCAGGGGGTGGGGACAGCATTCCTGCAAGAGCCAGATGAAGGCATCTTAAAAAATAATAATTTTTTTTTTTTTTTAAATCAGGGCAGTTTCCAAGCAGGCACTGCAATGCCAACTACAGTCTAATGAACCCCCACGTACACATCACCTAGTTTCAGCTCGAATCAGGTCGTAGCCAGTGCCGATAGAGCTGTACCCTCCCCCGCTTCCCCATCAAAGTGCTTCCCAGACACCATGTCGTATCTGTAAGAGTTTTAGTGTGCATCCCTTTTAAGCTAACATCCACGTGACTATCACACTTAAAATACTGACCGTCGTTCTTTGTGCCATCAAATATTGAGGCCACACATCCCCAGGAGTTGGGGGTTGAACCAAATAAAATCCAGGCAGAGAAGAATATTCCCCGTTTAAAGCTAGAAACAGTCTCTGTCTCCTTCACAGTGCGATTCTGGTGCCCTGGCACACAAGAATCTTGGTACCCTCCTTGGCTTGGTGGCATCTCATTGTCTGCTGGGAAACCCTGGGCTCTGGAGAGGACCTGGGGATGGCACAGTCGGGTCAGTTTCGGAAGGGTCCACCTGGCACTCTTGAACCTGAGAAAGATGATAGTTGTTGGAAAGATCCCTGTTTTTCTTTTGTTCAGAGGAGAGCAAGGGTAAGCAGATTATGAAACACGGCTGGCAGATCTTAACTTACTTACTTACTTATTCACTTGTTCGGGGGCCCATTCCATAAACATGTGGTCAGCGACTCCTGTGCTAGGTCCTGTCTGGGCATTTAGTGAGCAAATGTGCCCCAAGCCTTACCTGATGGTGCATGTCCCCTAGCTGGGAGAATGGAATTAAAGGCGCCATGTGAAGAGTGAAAGAACTAGAAAATGAGAGGGTGTGGGGGGAGGACAGGGTCAGAGAGTCAGAAAGGCCTCTGAATGTGCCAAGTTTGGACTTGAGAACTGAAGGCTAAGAAGCGATTGTCAGGCAGATGAGAAAGAGCTCCTTCTCGACTAGAATTTCCCCCGCTGGATGCTCCTGACATTACTAGCCTGGATGAGTCTTTGTTGTGGGGACTATCCCGGGTGTGGCAGGACGTGTAGAAGCAGCCCCTGGCCTTGGTCCACTAGATCTGCTTATGCTGAACCCCAACTCAGGACAACCACAGATAGCCCCAGACATTTCCCAGTGTCTCCAAGGGGCAGAATTACTTCTGGTTGAGAACCTTTCCTGAGGGAGAGAACAGTCTGGACAAGACATGGGTCAGAGATGACCTTGCTGCATTTGAGAAATTTAAAAATGGAGGGAGAATAATAAAAGAATGAGGAGAGGCGAGTGGAGAGAAGCAAGTGAAGATGTTCCCCCTCTGTCTTCCAGGAAAGGACTGAGTTCAAAAACATCCCCAAATGTTGAGCATAACAGCTAATAAGGCAGCCACTTCGTTCAACCCTCAAAGCAAACTTGTTTTATAGAAGGGCAACCTGGGACCCAAGGTCATGTAAGAAATACATGGCAGAGTGGACATGAGAACCAGTTCTCTGCTGTTCCAAGGCTGGTGTTCTTTCTGCTTGAAGTTGGCCCTTGGGGAAGTTAGCCAGAACTGGAGTGGCAAGATGGCCCCAGGGTATGTAGAAAGCACCTTGCGGGAGCCAGTCCCGCCCCTCAAATGGGACCACTTGGCAGCATGGAAGGTCCTTGGAGGTAGGAAGGTCACCTGTGGTCCCGAGTCTGCTCATTCATCCTGTAGACCCCTGGTGGAGACCCCGGAGGTCACCTCATCCTAGGTCAAGGGGTGGTACTCGGCCAGAGACCTCTGGAGGTCAGGTGGGCACTCCTGTGCTCACGAGGCTGCCCCCTAGGGGCCCTGTGTTGACTTGCCACAACCATGGCCTCAACTGGCTCAGCCGGGCCAGGGTATTGGGATCTCTAGCATTACAGCCTCCAGGAGGGTGGGTAATGAGAGGCCCAGCAGATGGCTTAGGGTTCGAGTCTGAGTTCTGCCACCTCACTAGCCATATGACCATCTGCGAGGAAATTCAGTCTTTGTGAAACCAGGATCCGATCACAGAACCTAGCAGAGGGTCGGGCACTTACCAAGTACTCAATAAATGTCAACTGTTCATTCCTGAGCGGCATCCAAGGCTGAAACTCCTGTATGTCCGAGGGGCCCGGGAATCCTTTGCTAGACCACGTGCCAAACCGATTTTGGGTTTCGGAGAAGAGAATTCTGGAATTTTTTGCTTTCTTAGCTTCAGTGCTCCAGGTCCCTTCTGTGCCTCGGTCCTTCTGTCCTTCCCTCCCTCCGCCCCCGCTGCTGTCATTTCTGTGCTCCCCCCACCGCCCGTTCTCCTGCCCGCTTCACTCTGCCAGCCTCATGGCCAGAGGCACTTCACGCCTCGAGCCCTGCTGGTTCCTCCTGCTTTTGTTTCTGTGAAGTCGCCCCATGCAAAAGCATATGAATTTTGCAGATGAATGGTTTTATCCTGGGCAACTCTGATAGGCTTTCACTTCCCATCTGCCGCTCCATCTGTAGCTTCCAGAACCACTACTCCCATCCCGAGAAGGATGAGCAAACTTAGGAGCCTCCTCAAAGGGGCAGGAGTGCCCATCAGAAGTTTCTAAGAGGCTCTGAAAACAGAGGGGCTTTCCAAGGGCAGAGCCCACCCAACGTGGCTGCTCTGGGCTGTTATAGATTGGACCCTACCTCTCTGTGTCCCCCTGCCCAGCTCGAACTGGGGAGCCAGACTCTTCCCCTCTCTAGCCATAAGGACTCACTGATCTCGACTGGCCCCCAGCCTTGTAGGCCCTGGACACTGAGAGCCTGGTTGCAGATTCTGAGCCATCACAATGGCTGTGGGGACAAGGTACACGGCATTCTGCACCCCAGTTTGTACACCTGAGAAGGGGACCTAGTTAGTACCTATTTCACAGGAACGTTAGGAAGCATCAATGAAATATTGAATATCCAGAGCTTCAGCACCGTGCCTGACACGTAGAAAGTGCAGGATAAATACAGGCTGTTGATATTCTAGCGGTGGAATCCTGTGGGCCTCAACCAAGCTGCTGACTTCTCTCCCTTTCCTCACAAAGAGACTAGCACAATATTACCTGACCTCCCATCTCTCTTGAAAGTGGAAAAGCAAAGTGGGACGATGAAAACTGAATGTCTCAAGAAAAACAGGATAGAACCAACTTGTTTGTGAATGAGAAGCATGGTCCTGTGTTTGGAATATGCAGTCTACTTGTGTGTAAAGAATCCTTCCTTCTCTGCTGTGACATGACCCCCGGGGGCCCACATGGGCTCCGGCTGGAGTTGGTTATGCCTCCAGGGCATGGACAAAATGAGGTGTTTGCAAACACTGAGACTCTGCCTGGTCTTGAGTCATCAAAGGATGTGGTGGGTTTGTTGAGTGTATCCTGCTTACTAAGGCAGGAAGCTACACTGGGCGACTTTTCGTTAGTTGGGCTGCAAGGGACCAGACCAAAGCATTTCACACTGTTACTTGGCTTGGGCTCGTAGTATAACAGACACCACACTGGCCACCCTTCACTAGGCCCTCTGTCCTGGGCCGCATCAGATGCACATGGGAGGAGAGCTGAGCGTATCTATGGCCCCTCGGGGGGCCTCACATTCTGTCTGGTGTGCACGCATATGCACGTGTGTATATGTGGCAGGGGAAAGAGTGTTGACATTTTTCAAGCTAAATCTGGGATCTACTATCTTGCCTCTTGGGGATCCACTGCCCTAAGGTCTAACCCAGTGGGGCCCACTCTGGGGACATTTCAGTGACCCTTGTCCGTAGACCCAAACTTCTGTCCCAGGCCACTAGCAGAGCCCCAGGCCAGGAGCATAAGAACCTCTCTGGGGTGCCTCAGCAGGAAACGTCAGCTCGTAAAGACAGGAAGCA